TGTGTTTAATCCTGTTCATATATCTAAAATAAATTACTTTATTTGGAAATACGTTCAGGTCACAAGTTTTCATTTCTCATTCATGATCAGGGGGTATTTCATTACCTGTCCGGGATTTCATACGCAAAGAACTTGAGGGATTATCTTGTGAGATTAGGCTGGTCCTAATTTCATAGGGTGTCTCTTTACATATTATGGTGGAGAATGCGGGCACGCATTATGCTAATCTTGGAGTGATGAAATATTAATTCTGTTCATGAATTTGAAAAAACAAATTATTAATTTTTCCCACATCGGCATGAACTTAAAAACCCTTCATGGTATTTGTTTTTTTTTTTAAGAAATACGGCTTTGCTTGAGTGTTCAGAATCAGTTCCAAGTACTGCAGACTTGGTTCTGTTTAAATCTGTTTATCCTGGCAAATGTGCATCTGGACCCGCTGAGGTTCTGGTTCTGTCTCGCCGCCGCGCGAGAAAGGAGGTTTCTGCTGGAGAGGGCTGCGCCGTCAGACTCTTAAGAAAGCAGCAAKCGTGTTTCGCTTGAGAAAGCGACTTATTGCATGCATGTGCTCATATCTGTGGATGAATGAGTGAAAAAGGATCCTTTATAAATCCAGTGTGTTCATACCGTCGGTTTTAGAACCATAAATCTGGTCTGGGTTACGTGCGTAATTACGCATATTCCAGTTTGAACTCCGCGACAAAGCTCTTAAGATCGCAACTTGAGAAGCTGTCATCACGGTTTATAGAAATAAACACAACGTGTAGGAGTTTTTAGCGCCGTTGGAGGTTAAGAAACTTAATTGTTTGTGCCGAGGCGTTAATTCAGACGAGTCAGTCTGACCACACTGAGCGTGTGAAGCGCTGCTAAGCGCTATTCAGGGAAGCTACTATTTCTTCAGTCTTGAAGCTGCGCGCGCAGAAAGTCTTACCCTGTGTTCCGTGAGAATCACGGATTTTAGCTTATAAATCGTTCGCCCTGCTCTGGGGTGCGTAAAGCTAAATAAAGTTACGCTGGAAAGCGTAAAAACGGAGTTTTAAGCTCCGTAGGTGCGAAGCTGCTGYCTCTGGGTCAGAGTGAAACCGCCATTTTGTGTCAGAAGAGCACAACGTCAGCAACGTCATACGTCATACGTAACCTGAACGTGAGTTCTCCCCTGGGAGGGGGTGAAACGTCACGGGTTCTTTTCAGAGCTGTGTTTTGTGTGACATAGTCGCCATCTGCTGGTTTTCCGCTGTAATTACACTGTCAAAAGGTGAGATTGTTCTAGAGAGCAAAAAAATGCGGAAGGCAAAACTAGAATTGAATGAAATTATCGACAAAAAAATAAATTCTTGTTACAAAGACTTCGTTTAGAAAATTTTGAACATAACAATAAATCAGCCTTAAGCCTTGTCTGCGAAACCGGCTCATAATGTGTCATTATGTGTCTTTTTTCTGCTTTCTGTGGGTGTACCAGCTCACAACAATTTGAAATTCATATATTGAAAGGCTTTGAAAGTTGCTGTTAGTCTAAAATTTGTTCTCATATTGTCAGTGATAATATATTTTTGTGTTGTTGCAGGTTGTATGGAGTGTTTACACCAGGAAAATCATCCAAAGTTACAGGGACCTCGTTGCTTTGGTGTTTTTTGGCACAGAACAGAGCAAGAACCCCAGGAACTCTTTCAAACATGTCTATGTGTACCACGACCTTGATCAACCTGGTGAGATGTTTCATTCTTCAAACAAACGAACCAGAACTTGTATTGGCAATTAGGGCTGCCACGATTAATCGATTAATCG